AAAAAAAAAAAAAAAAAAAGTTGAAAAACCTTTAGCCAGCCTAATCAAAAAAAAAAAAAAGAAGACCTAAATAAATAAAATCAGAGATGAAGAAGGAGACAACAATCAATACCACAGAAATTCAAATCATCATCAGTTGCTGCTATGACCAACTATATGCCAATAAATTGGAAAACCTAGTAGAAATATATAGGTTCCTAGATAACACATAAGTTACAAAGATTGAATCATGAAGAAATCCCAAACTTAAACAGACAAATAACAAGTAACAAGATCGAAGATGTAATAAAAATTCTCCTAGCAAAGAAAAGCCCAGGATCAACTAGCATCACTGCTGAATCCTACCAAAGATTTAAAGAATAACTAATACCAATTCTACATAAACTATGAAGAAAAATATAGGAGGAGGGAATATTTCCAAACTAATTCTGAGACAAGTATTATCTTGACACTGAAACCAAAGACAAATCAAAAACAACAACAACAACAACAAAAACTGCAGGTCAATATCCCTGATGAATATTGATGCAAAAATCCTCAACAGAATATCAGCAAACAGAATTAACAATACTTTAAAAAGATTATTTATTATGACCAACTGGGATTTATCCTAAGGATGCAAGATTGGTTCAACACATGCAAATCAATCAATGTGATACATTATATCAAGAGAATGAATGACAAGAACCAAAAGATCATTTTAATTGATACTGAAAAAGCATTTGATAAAATTCAACATCCCTTCATGTTAAAAATCCTTAAAAAGTGGGGCAAGAAACATGCCCCAATATAATAAAGGCCAATGACGGACCCACAGCTAGCATCCTACTGAATGGGGAACATCTGAAAGCTTTTTCTCTAAGATCTGGAAGACAAGGATGCCCACTTTCACCACTGTTATTCAACATAATAATGGAAGTCCTAGCTAGAGCAATCAGAAAAAAAAAAAAAAAAAACAATAAAGAAATAAAGAGCATCTAAATTGGAAAAGAAGAAATCAAAAGTCAAATTATCCCTGTTTGCAGATGATATGATCTTATATTTGGGAAAAAATCTAAAGACTCCATCAAAAAACACTACTATAATGGATAAATTCAGTAAAGTTGCAGGATGTAAAATTAACGTACAAAAATTCATAGCATTTTTATATGCCAACAACAAACAGTCTGAAAGAAATCAAGAACATAATCCCATTTACAATAGCTCCAAATAAATTAAATACCTGGGAATTAACCAAATAAGTAAAAGATCTTTAAAATAAAACTATTGAACATTTATGGAAGAGATTGAAGAGGACACAAGAAATGGAAATTTATTATATGTGCATGGATTGGAAAAATCAATATTGTTAAAATACCCAAAGCAATCTACAGATTCAAGTCAATCTTTATCAAAATACCAACGACATTCTTCACAGAAACAAATGCAAATTCTAAAATTTATGTAGTACCAGAAAAGATGCAGAATACCCAAAGCTATCCTGAGCAAAAAGAACAAAACTGGAGGAATCACATTTCCTGACTTCAAATTAAACTATAGAACTATAGTAAGCAAAATGGCATCGTACTGGCATAAAAACAGACACATAGACAGTGGAACAGAATAGAGAAACCAGGAATAAATCCATGCATCTACAGCAAACTTATCTTTGACAAAGATGCCAAGAACATACGTTGGAGAAAGGACAGTCTCTTTAATTAATTATGCTGGGAAAACTGGATATCCATATGTAGAAGAATGAAACTCTACACCTATCTCTTGCCATACACAAGAATAAAGTCAAAATAGGGTAAATACTTAAATCTAAGACCTCAAACTATGAAGCTACTACAAGAAAACCTTGGAGAAACTCTCCAGGACATTGAAGAGGGCAAAGATTTCTTGAGTAATACCCCGCAAGCACAGGCAACCAAAACAAAAATGGACAAATGGGATCATGTCAAATTAAAAAACTTCTGTGCAGCAAAGGATACAATCTACAATGTGAAAAGACAGTCCACAGAATAGCAGAAATTATTTGCAAACTGCCCATCTGATATGGGATTAATAACCAGAATATATAAGGAACTCAAACAACTCTACAGGAAAAAAGAAATCCAGAAATCTGATTTAAAAATAAGCAAAAGATTTGAATAAACATTAAGACAAACAAATAGCAAACAACCATATAAAAAGCTTCTCAACATCATTGATCATAAAGAAATGCAAAAACTACAATGAGATATCATTTCACTCCAGTTTAAACTGTTTATATCAAAAAGTCGGGCAATAACAAATGCTAGTAAGAATGTGAAGAAAACAGAACCCTCGTACTTGGTGGGAGTGTACATTAGTACAACCACTATGGAGAACAGCTTGGACATTCCTCATAAAAACAAAAATAGAGTTATATGGTCCAGCAATCCCACTGCTAAGGATATACTGAAAAGAAAGGCAATCAGTATATTGAAGAGATATTTGCCCTTCTATATTTATTGCAGCACTATTCATAATAGCCCAGACTTAGAAGCAACCTAAATGTCCATCAACAGATGAATGAATAAAGAGATTGTGGTACATATACACAGTGAAGCACTATTCATCCATAAAAAAGAACGTGATCCTATCATTTGCAACAACATGAGTGGAACTGGAGGTCATTATTTTAAGTGAAATAAGCCAGGCACAGAAAGACAAACATCACGTTCTCACTGTTTATGAAAGCTAAACATCAAAGCAATTGAACTCATGGAGATAGATAATAGGAGGATGGTTACTAGAGACTGCTAAGGTTAGTGTGAGATGGTGGCAGGGGGCATGGCTAATGGGTACATAAAAATCTTTTTAGAAAAAATAACACTAATAAATAAGACCTAGTATTTGCTAGCACAAAATGGTGACCACAGTCAATAATAATTTAATAATACAATTTATAATAACTAAAAGGTATAATTGGATTTTTTGGAACAAGAGGGATAACTGCTTGAGTTGACAGATACCCCATTTATCCTGATGTGATTATTAGACACTGCATGACTGTAACAAATTATCTTATATACCCCATGCATACACACCTACTACATGCCTGCAAAAATAAAAAATTAATACAAACAAAAAAGAAGAAATCACTTTTTATTTAACACTATTCATATATTAATTTTTTTAGTTTTCTCAGTGTGAGATGGATATTGGTTTAATTTATTCACAGCCATTACTTTAATTAGAACCTTTGGAAGAGTAGCTTTCCTCAGCAGTATTCTACCTATGTCTTCAGCCAATAAACTGCTTGTAATATTCCAGAGGTTATTTCCTTAAGGTCTAGTATATATAACGTGTAATTGAGTAGTTTTTTAAAGTCTCCACTATTAACAAGGAAATTATAAGCATTTTCTATATGCCACAAACTCTGCTATGCCTTAAAGATATAAATAATAGATGGACCCATGGAGTTGCTGACATTACAGTAAATATGGTACCTATACACCATGGTATATAAGATACCTAGGAATACCTAGGAATTAGTCAAATAAGTGAAAGATCTTTAAAATGAAAACTACTGAACATTTGTGGAATAGATTAAAGAGGACACAAGAAATGGAAATTTATTATACATGCATGGATCGAAAGAATCAATATTGTTAAAATGTAAATACATTTAACAATACTATACAGCCACAAAGAAAGAACAAAATTGTTTTCTTGCATTGCAACACAGATGCAGTTGGAGGGCCTTATCCTAAGCAAATTAATTCAGGAACAGACAACCAAATACAGCATGTTCTCATTTGTAAGTGGGGACTAAACATGGGGTACTCATGTAAATAAAGATGGCAACAATAGAAATTGGAGACTACTAGTGGATGAGGTATAGACTACTAGTGGATGAGGTATAGATGGGAGCAAGAATTGAAAAACTAGTTATAAGGTTTTATGCTCAGTACCTGAGTGATGGGATCAGTTTTAACCTAAACCTCAGCATCATGCAGCATGCCAAAGTAATCTGCATATGTGAGTCTGCACATGTATCCCCTGAATCTAATATAAAAATGGAAATTATATTAAATAAACCTTCCCAAATAAAAAATAAAACAAAATACCCAATTTGTAAAACCGTATAACTCTCAAGTGAACGTGCCATCTTAATAAGCATTATATTTAGATTATTTTTGTAGATAATGGAAATTAGCCAAGAAAAAGCTTTAATGAGAAAAAACATTTGTATTTTTAAAGAAACATGATATAGCAGTATGAATTTGAAACATTTGTCACTCTATCCCTAACCTATCATGTAACTGAACTAAAAATAAACCTCTTAGGAAGCAAAAAATACATTGAATGTTTGGTTTACTGCCTTTATAGGGGAAAACATGTTAGATCATTTTTCTCCCTTTTTCAAAGATTGTTTTGATGTTATGTGGAAATAGCTCCATTATCTGAGAGATAAAATACATCAGCTACTGTCTATGCTCAAGTGAATATCCTTCAACGTTCCAATATTTTGCTCTCTTTTTGTGCAGTCACACCCATTAAGTAGAATCAAAGGAGTAAATGAATTAAATTAAACATGCAATTCAAAACTCGTACTTAATTTAAATGTTTTCATTTCCCGAGGACACAGCTGAGGAAAACACTGCAGTTATGGCACAGATTGAAAAACAAAATCATGCATACCTATGAAATGATCATCTACTGTGCTAAAAAATAAAAAAGAAAAAGAAAAAGAAGAGAAAAGGAAACGTGAAAGAATCCATGATTTTGTCCTGAGCTCCTAGACTCCTACTGGAGAAAGAAGGAAAGAAGGAAAGGGAAAGGAAGGGGAGGGGAGGGGAGGGGAGGGGAGGGAAGGGAAGGGAAGGCAAGGCAAGGGAAAGGAAGGGAAGGGAAGGGAGGGGAAGGGAAGGGAAGGGGGAAGGGAAGGGGAAAGGGAAGGAGGGAGGGAAGAAGGAAGGGGGAAGGCAAGGAGGGAGGGAAAAGGGAAGGGGGAAGGGAGAGAGAGAGGGAGGGAGTGGATAGTGAAGGAAGGAAGGAAAGAAGGAACTGAGACTTTCCACATTTCCCTTTTTCTCCTTTTCCACCTCACTTTCTCTTTGTCAAAAACTCATGAGAAGAGGCATGAAATCTCAGGATTAGTTCTGTATCAACTGTCAGGAGACCTGACTTTCTTTGATTTTGCAATCATCATGCTTTAGGTAAGCAGATATTTTTCTATGTCTCAATTTTATATTCTGAATACAGTTTTTGGACTATTTTAATATGGCTTATACATTTGGGTATATACAACTCAGCTCTGACCTTCATCTTGTATCATTGATATAATCTTTCTAAGTTTTGGAAATTTCTTTTTGGTCCCACGTGATTGTAAGATGACATTAATTCAAAGTAGATTTAGTTGGAAGGAATGTGTGTTTTTCACTAGGTTATTCGTTGTGGCATCATGGATTATTCCCTTATAAACTGACACACTTTAAACTTGATTATTTTCCAAAAATTCTACTTCAAGAATTAAATTTGTACACAGTATATAGCAAACTCTCATTTGTAGATATCTATTTAATCTCTTACAAGTGTCAGGAGCTATGCATATAAAGAATTGTGAAATAAATACTAAGAATTATAAAATCCAATATTGACCCTTATGGTGCTTCTATTTGCAGTGGAAAGGAATGGAAGCATAAAAGTAGACCAAGATATTAGTGTGTTATAGGTTAGAAAGTCTAATGTAGATCAGAGAAAGGCAAAATTTCTTATTGCTTAGGTCACACAACCTGGTTTCCCAGCATAATCACTGCTTATGCCTATGTCATGATTTAGGTATTCTCTTTAACTCACAGAATTGTCCAGTTTTAGAAGATAAAAGACTGTTGGAGAAAATTCCACATTGGTATGAAATTTGAGTTGTATAGTCCTTCTGTTAGAAAAGAGGAGGGAGATAGAATTATGAGGCATATGAAAGAATGGTATAAATAAGTGTTTGCTCATTCCACAAATAATTGATTTCCTTCTCTCTATTTAGTCAGAATAGTTGGTATTTGGCATCAGCATTGTCAGATAACTGATTTGTCATCTGTAACTGTGATCAGAATTTGTTTCCAAAATTTCTGAAAGATAAGATAAAAATATCACAGAAACCAATATTTGGTCTTACTGGATTCTGGTTTTTACAGATGAATTGACATAGGGTGAGAGACACAATTTGGAGGAAAGAGACCCAAAGTCAAATGTTTATTTCTGCCATTTATTGGCTCTGTGATCTCAGGCAAATTATTTAGCATTTCTATGTTTCCTTTATTTTTAAATTGAGATGGTGCTTATAAGGTTTCAGAATTAAATGTGATAAAATATATAAAAGCACACAGTAGAGTGGTTGGCTAATTGCACATAATCATTAAAATATTCTAGATTCCATATGTGACACAGCATGGTTAGGTTCTTAAACTATAAACACTTTTATGAACTTTCAATAATACTATTGCAGTGAAAGCAGCCCTATACTTGACAGCCATTCTCCTGGAGCCAGAAAAACGTAAAATAAACCAACACATTCCCAACATCAGAAAAGGAAGTTTAGGGCCTTGCTTGACTTGCATATATTGCCTATGCCAGATGCCTCTTGGCCTGTGTCAATACCCCTTAGAAAGTATGAAAGTCATTATTACTGAAAAAATAAAGACAAAATGGAAGTAGTTTCACAATCTGTTCCATGTTGGTGGCTGCATTCAGATATTCTGACTTCTTCTGGAAGCTTTGAACTGCCTTGATGACTCTTCAGTCTCCAGAGTGCCTTCCTGGCATCAGATCTGTGGTGGCATGAGAGTTTGGAGCTCCTTCTCATAAATTGCTATGAAATTAATCATCATAGTGTGCCCGGTTCTGCCTTTGAGTTAATAGACTTGTGATGAATAAATAATCTAGTTCCAAAATCTTTGCATGTTTACTCCCTAGAAGACTCATCCCATTGATTGTTTGTTCTGATTCATAGCTTCCCTTGTGAATTTTGGGAAAATACAGTCATATTTAAAAATAGAATTAAAGTTATATTCAGTTAAGAATATGGCTGCTACCTGCTATTGGGTTTGAGATCTTAAGACAAACTTTTAAAATTAAACATTGATGCTTTCTCCTCTACACGGTAACTGGAATTCAAGCAGATCCCCAAGATCCAGAGATGGTACTGTCAGCAAAGTTTCTTAGTAAATATTTAAGCCACCCAGAATTTTGTAGCTCATAATGACCAGACTTAGAGTAATGTTTCCAATTAACAAGTTGAGCATTGGAAGATCTGGGTTTAAACTTCTGCTCTGTCTTTAAGCTGGTGTATGTCTTTGGGCAATTTATGTAACTTGTCTAGTCCTCAGTTTACTCTCTTGTGCAATGAAAGGGTAGGGTTAGACTTTCTCTAAGACCTATCTAAATCTGAAAATTCTATTTCTCCCATTTAAAGTCAATCAGGCAATTTAGACATATTTTTAAAATGCCTACTGTATTCAAGGGACATGTTTAATCTTTTGTTGTATACTCATTTTATTACATTACATTTTGCTTCAATATATAATAGCCCCTTGGGATGTAAAGCAATCTTCATTAGTAAAGCCAGTCAATGGGTATTTAGCGCCTGCTCAGGGTCAGCATAACTTCTTATAATTGCTTTTAATCAATTTTATGTCAATGAATTGTCTTTTTAAAAATAATTAACATTGTAATAGTTAAATCATCAGTTAAAGCGTAAGTCCTAGTAACAAAATATTTTTGTTAGAGTTGCTTTTTCCATTTATTTTCCTGAAAATATCAGGTATTTGCCTTTCTATAAACAAATTATTGCTTTCAATTTTCCAGAGACTTTCTTTTCCATTGAAAATAACTAGAAATGATGGATACAATTTTTTAAAGCTTTAAATGCACACATAGGTTGACTAGAAAGTAAGAAATTATGGAGACATGGTGAACATGAAAGTAGTTTTTAGCCCTAATGACATATGGTGAACCCCTGTGAATTGTTATTAACTTTTTCACACAGTACTATCCTCTGAATGTTTGTGATAGGGCTTTTGAGAGGTAAGTAGGTAATAAGGGCAGAGCATTCATAAATTGGATTAGTGTCCTTAAGAAGAGGCTCCAAAGAACTGCCCTACCCTTCTGCCATGTGAGGACAGAGCTAGAAGGTGCCGTTTATGAACCAGAAAGCAAGTCCTGACCAGACACCAAATCTGCTGGCACCTTGATTTTGGACTTCCCAGCCTACAGAACTGTGAGAAATAAATTTCTATTGTTTATAAACTACCCAGTTTATGGGATTTTATTATCGCAGTCTGAATGAACTAAGACACAGATGATTGAGACAATCAGACAGAAAACAAAACCCAGGGCCAGCCCAAGATGGGAAGTCTAACTGGAGATCTCACTAAAGGAGATCCCCCACTAACCTTAATCCTCAGTGAAAGGAACTTGCATACCTGGTGATGAGTGAAGACGGAAAAAATTTTTTTTGAGATGTTGAAACCACAGAATGAACTTTCAGAGATTTGCAGTCTAGGTTTATGCTACCTGAGTTTACACACACACACACACACACACACACACACACACACACACACACAGAGCAGGGAATTGGGTTTAAAGTAATTTGGTTTGCTTGCTGTTGCTCTCAGGCATATTGCAGAAACAAACACAAACCTCCTGATTCCACAGCTAATCCTAATGTGATTGAGTACACATTAGCAAAAGTTTCTCCTTCCTCCATGTGAGGATATGGTTGAGTGAAAAATCTATTTTTTTTTAAATTTATTTATTATTATTATACTTTAAGTTCTAGGGTACATGTGCATAACGTGCAGGTTTGTTACATATGTATACTTGTGCCATGTTGCTGTGCTGCACCCATCAACTCGTCAGCACCCATCAACTCGTCATTTACATCAGGTATAACTCCCAATGCAATCCCTCCCCCCTCCCCCCTCCCCATGATAGGCCCCGGTGTGTGATGTTCACCTTCCTGAGTCCAAGTGATCTCATTGTTCAGTTCCCACCTATGAGTGAGAACATGCGGTGTTTGGTTTTCTGTTCTTGTGATAGTTTGCTAAGAATGATGGCTTCCAGCTGCATCCATGTTCCTACAAAGGACACAAACTCATCCTTTTTTATGGCTGCATAGTATTCCATGGTGTATATGTGCCACATTTTCTTGGTGAAAAATCTATTTTATTGTAACTATACAAGAATGCTAGATGCAAAATGTAGAAAGCGTCTCTTGGATTTATGCACAGCACAACTTGAATAACCATGAGCAGCAAACATGTAATGTGATCCTCTATGAATACTCAGAGATAATGTTCCAAAGTGGTGAAGGATGGGTAGGTAGAGACAAACACAAAAAACAAATGGAAAGACACCCACATACAAAATACACCAGGAACCAAAAATATAATGAATAAAAACTCATCATGTTGAGGAAACATTGACAACAAAATCAGAAGTCAAAAGCTTCATATATTCAGTTTATCAGACACAAAATATAAATTGAGAATATTTTATAAGCTTAAAGATTTTTAATTCAAATATGAGTAAAGAGAAAGAGGCTACAAAAAGTGACCAAGAAGATACAGAGAAGAACTAAAGAAAAAAGTCTGTTGAAACTAGAACAATTAAAATATAAAACTCAACAACAGCCTTTAGACTCACACCTTTAAACATCATTTAAAAACTGAAATTAGAGCTAAAGAAATCTTTGGGATATATCACAGAGGAGAAAAAATAAAAGAAATATTAAGACACTTGAAAATAGATTAAGAATGACTAGCATAGGTTTAAGCAAAGATTGAAGAGAAAGAAAGAAAATAATGATAGGAGGAAGTATTTGTAGAAATAAAGCCTTGCCTTTAAGTGAATTCACAAAAAATAATGATCTTGAGATTCAGGAAGGCCTATGAATCTCAAGTATGACTAATACAACATAATGTCACACACAGACAAATAAGTAGCAAAAACAGCACAACATCAAAGACAAACAGATCGTAAAATCAAAATGAACAAAAATTAGGCTGAAAACAGACTTCTAATAGCAACAATAAAAGACAGAAGACGTTGGTAAAATTATATATCAAAATATCATTAAAATGAGAAGAAAAGACAAATGTTTTAGACAAACAAAAACAAAAATTGAGTTTGCTACCAATCATTTACCATTAATTAAAAT